CAGGGGTAAGGTTGGGGGGAGGGGAAGGGGCTGGGGGTCACACTGCAGGGGACAGGAGCCAAGGGACACAAGTGCCCACACGAGGAGATGGGTGAGTTCACAAGGGGGGAGTCACACTAAGAGGGTGGGGGGAGGTTGGAGGCCAGTCCAGGGCTCCGCTGAGGGTGCAGCCTGTGGGGGGCACTCGGGGGCAGAGGCCTGGCACAGCCAGGGGTCCCACGGCCACAAGCGGTGGGGGCGGGGGTCCGGGTGGCACCTGCGCGTGCACGTACTTGGACACATCCGCGATGTGCATGTGCCGGAGCTCCACCCACAGGTCGTCGTCCTCATCCAGCAGCACCGCTTTCTCCCGAGCCTCGCTCAGCCCGGTGCTCTCATACCTGCAGGGAGGAGGAGCCGTGGGGGTCAGGGGCACCAGCTGAGGACTGGGGACCCTAGTGGGTGATGGCGGTTTCTGGGGTCGCCCACCTGTATGTGTCTTGCTCAATGTCCAGCAGGTCATAGGCCATAGCCTGGAATGTGAGCTCGTGCAGCAGCGGGGACACGGGGTCGGCCGCCCGGTCCACGATCAGCAGCTGCGAGCGAGTTTTCTCCGGGCCCTGGGGATGGGGACAGGGATGAGGACACTGACCCTGACCTCGGCCAGAGCTGTGTCCCACCTCCCCAGCAGTTCCTCACCTCGCCCAGACTGGGAGTGTCTGCCTTGAAGGCGTTCAGCTTGGCCAGGACAGTGTGAGCCAGCTGAGCTGTGTCTTCTGGGCCCCTGAGGCGGGGTGGGGAGACAATTAGATGCTGCTTGGTGGGACGCAGCAGGGATGGGGTTGGGAAGGTCGGGCACAGGGAGGGCTGGAGCTGGGGTTAGAAGAGAGGTTAAAAGTTTGGGTGCTGGATGGGGTCGAGGCCAGGGATGTCATGGGGTGGGGGCTGGGTGGGTCCCCACTTGCGGTAACGGATGGCTGGGTACTCCTGCAGCGTGGCGCACAGCGTGGCGATCTGCTGGGCCAGTGCCTCGAGTTGCCGTGCCCGTTCCCCCACCCGGAAGGGGCAGTAGAGGTTGTAGGTGCTATGGGGGGCATCCAAGGAGAACACCTGGGGGGGAGGTGGTTAGATGGGCAAGGGCTGATGCTGTAAGCACACACCTGCTGACTTCTGACTGCCACCACTGGCACCTCCAGGTGCTCCCTGATCTCTGGGGCTTACTTTACCAGGCCTTTCCCTTGGCCTGGGGGGACAACTCTGAGGTGGGCTCTATGCTGCCCCCTGCCGAGGTCTGAGGACCCAGAACTCGCCGAAGAGCTCCTTAGGTTTCTTCCTTTTTAAAAAATATTGTATATTACTTTATTCCGTTTTATTTATTTCTGTAGAGACAGGGTCACGCTCTTTCACCTGGGCTGGAGTGCAGTGGCACAATCATAGCTCACCGCAGCCTCAAACTCCTGGATTCAAGGGATCCTCCTGCTTCAGACTCCTGAGTAGCTGGGATTACAGGTGTGCGCCACCATGCCTGGCTCGGTTTTTAATTTTTTAGAGATGAGGTCTCACTCTGTGCCTAGGCTGGTCTCAAACCCCTGGGCTCAAGCGGCCCTCCTGCCTCAGCCTCCTCGGTAGCTGGGACTACAGGCTCATGCCACAATGCCTGGATCACTTTTTCAGTTTTATTGTTTTTGAGTCGGAGTCTCATTCTGTTACCCAGGCTGAACTGCAGGGGCATGCTCATGGCCACTGCAGCCTCGACCTGCTGGGCTCAGGTGATCTTTCTGCCTCAGCCTTTCAAGTAGCTGGAACTACAGGTGCATGCCACCACATCCAGTTAATTTTTTCTTTTTTTAATTGTAGAGACGAGGTCTCCCCATGTTGCCCAGGCTGGTCTCGAACCCGTGGGCTCAATCCTCTCACCTCTGCCTCCCCAAGTGCTGGGATTAACAGGCATGAGCCACCAAGCCTGGCAAATTTTATTTTTTAAAAATGAGGTCTCGCTCCCTATCTAGGCTGGTCTTGAACTCCTGGGCACAGGTGATCCTCCTGCCTCAGCCTCTGACCCCTTCCCCTTCTAACTCCCTGTCCGTGTTCCCTTGACTCTGTCTCTGAAGGAACCCAGGACATTTGATCACAGTCCCCGCCCCCAACCCAGGACTAGCCCTGGCCGTACCTGGGCCTCATAGGGGAGAAAGGCCAAGTGAATTTCCTTCAGGGTCTTCACCACCTTTGCTAGCCGAGAGCGGCCCAGCTCACTGAACAAGGACTCAGGGCAGGCTGGGGTGGGCAGGAGGGGGCGTCAGACCAGAGCAGCCCCCACACCATTCCAGCACATACCTGCACGCAACCCCCACCCTCTGCCGCCACCGGCTGTCGTCACTCACTGTCGGTGAAGAAGACGTGTGCTGCTTTGTAGGTGAAGGTGGGCGACCCTCGGAAGTCAGCGATGAGGGCCTGAACTGACTGCGGACGGCAGAGGACTGGCTGGGCCTGGCCCTCCACCCCAGTCCATCCTCCACTAGACACAAACATGCACAGAGGCATGCACACACACCCATGTACATGCAAACGCACATGCACACGCAAACACACATGCACACACATAGGAACACGCTCCCTCGTGTAGGCACCTTCTCTGTGGGGCTCAGCAAATAAATGGCTTCCAGGCTGGGAATGGGTTCTCGCCGTTTGTTGATGTCTTCAACAACTAGTAGGAACAGAGAGAAGGACCCCTGTGGGTGTCATCGGGGGAGGGGCATGTGGGAAGTCTCAGGTATGGGGAGCTGAATGCTGGGTGAGCCTCAGGAGGGACACACCTAGGGGTCACCCAGCTGAAAGCCACACGGGCAGGGTCCTAAACACCTGTATGGGGCTGCATGGCCATACACCCTGGGCCCCTCCTCCATTCAGAATCCACCTGAGAAGTCCTACGTGGGGGCTGCAGAGGAAGGGAGTCCTGCAGGGGAGGTCTGCACATCACGGGCTCCCATCCCCAGCTGACATGACTAGAGAACACACTGGGTCACCCACTCCACATACGTGGGAGCTCTAGACAATTTGAGGGGATCCCACCCTCGGGGGAGAGGCCTCCATTCAGGGGGTCCCACACTCAGGTTCCATCTGGGGAGCTGGGGTGGCTGCGTCCACTCACTGGTGATGCCCTCAGCCAGGATGTCTGACATTTTGCAGCAGGAAGACAAGATGCGCATGCTCGGGTGGTCCATGATGAGCACCTGCCAGGATGGACGGACAGAGGGACTGATGGACAGACAATCGGGCGGAATAGGCCCCAGCCGGGTCCAAGAGGGGCAGAGGCAGTAGGTAGGGCCAACAGTTCCAAGGGCTTGGTATTGGTAGGCAGGAGAACCCAGGACCCATCCACCCGACTCCATCCCGTGGATGGGGAGTTCTCAGGGGCTCCCACATCCAAGGCCCCCCTATGGGCCTGGACAAGGGGCTGCCTCTGAGTACTCAGACATCTGCCTCACCCCTACCTTCCACTCCCCATCTTTCTTGACACTCCGAATCACTCCGCTCAGAATTTCTGCAAGGAAGGAAGGAGAGGGCTCAGGAAGCTGGTCCTCTGGTCCCAGCACGCCCCAAGCCTTCTCAGCCTCAGGACTGGGCCCCACCCTAACTCCCATTGATTCTTTATTATTAATTTTAACTCCCATTGATGATGATTATTATTAGAGGGAGGTTCTTCCTCTGTTGCCAGGCCAGTGTGCAGTGGCATGATTATAGCCTACAGTAGCCTTGGACTAGGCTCAAGCAATCCTCCGCCTCAGCCTCTTGAGTAGCTAGGACTATAGGTGTGTACCACGCCTGGGCTGGCTCGTTTTTTAAAAATTATTTTTTAGAAAAGGGGAAGGTCTCGCTTGATGCCTAGGATGGTCTTGAACAACTCCTAGTCTCAAGCGAACTGCTGCCTCAGCCTCCTAAAGCACTGGGATGACAGGAGTAAGCCACTCCACCTGGCCCCCTTTACTCTTACCCCGGATCCTGTGAGGCAGCTCTTGGTGTCACACCCAATTTACAGACAGGAAAACCGAGGTTCTGAGAGTACAGGCAACTTGCCTAAGCATCCCCAGCACCTAAGTGGCGGAGTGACCGGGCAAAAGTAGCCACTCCATAAATATGTTCTAGATGAATGGGCAGGTCTACCGCGTCTAGAACTGCACTCTCCGTGTCCCCATCTGCTACCTCAAGTTCTTCTGCTGTGAGGGTTTCAGCAAGCCCCCACTTCACTTCCATCATTCCCCACCGGACTGAAATGCAGAACCCCTGGCTCCCAGCTCTGAGGGGAGCCTGGCTGCGCCTATGCCACCAAGCTCCAGGCTCGGTTTCCTCATCTGCAAAATGGAATCGGTGGTTTTACCCATTAAGCACCACTAAGCACCGTGTAGGAGGCTCTTTTTTAGTTGGAGGGCTGGGGCCGGGAGTCACAGCAGGCTCGGCAGAGGAGGGAGTGAGCAGAAGAGATGGAGCGCCCCGCCCGGCCACAGCCACTGTGTCATGCCCACTGTTATCAGGACCGCCAGGCCGGAAGGAGCAGCTGAGGCCGGAACAACCCGGGATGGGGGAGGGGGCGACCTCCCCCCCCTCCCCCAAGAGCCCGGACCCGCGAGGTTGGGACGCCTGGGTCCTCAGGCCGCAAGGGGGTCCTGGAGACAGGGCGAGGAGGAAGGCGTCCCCTCGACCACCCCGAGGGCCCCGGGCACGCCCCCGGAGCGCTCACACCACCTGGGATCGCTGACCAGCGCACCATGCGGCCCCCAAGTCTAGCCCCGAACTCGGCCCGGCTCAAGAGGCCCGAGAGCGTCGGGGCGTCCAGCTGTGCCCTCCTCCCGCCCCAGGCACCCTAGGAGGGCCAGGAGTCCGGACCCCAGCCTGCGCCGCCCGCTACCCGCCCCCTTCGGGTCCTCGAGTCCCATCTCCCAGCTTTGCTCCGCCGGGGGCGTCCAGCCGGGACCAGGTCCCCGCCCGCCCCTTCGAGGGTCAGTGGCTCAGGCGC